TCGGTTTGTGTTTCCAGAGCTCAGGGTTCAGCCATTTCCTGCCTCCATTGTTTCTTTGTTCTGTGGGAAAGGGCGTGTGTGTGTGTGATTGTGTAGGTGTGCGTGTGATTGTGTAGGTGTGTGTTGGATTGGGAGGAAAGGGAGGGTCTCCGGCAACCTTCTCAGCTTCTGAAAACACTTGTGTGGAGCGGTGGGGCTTTCTTATCTCTGGAGGCTCCATCCACTGACCTTTGTGTTCAGAGGTCCCCTTTCCCCTCCTTCGCTCTTCAAACGGCGTCAGAACCAGATCCGTGTTCAGTTTAGCTCACATTTAAGGGATGTGGGGACTCTGGAAGAGCTTTCATAGCTGTCTCAGACCTGAAAGTGTCTCCACAATCCACCATCCACCATCCTAAACTCTCACTAGTCTGAAATACCCAGCTCAGGATTCAGCACAGCTAATTATTCTGACTGATTTCAAGCTAACGGACCCATTAGTTTACATCGTTAAAGTACTTCGGGTGACCTGAGCTTTTGTTAGATAAAAAGAAAACGGAGCAAAAAGGGCTTCGGGTGTTGAACATCCATGTGCACTTAACCGATAATGTCAGATTAACTGAGCGAATATGATAGTTTATTTGTTCACAGAACAAAATTTACCAGTTTGAAATGAAAAGTTCTTAAATCAACGTGTTTTAACCTCAATTTCGACCCAAAGCTGAGAACCTGTAATAAGCAATAGGCTTACTACTTCCATCTTTTCCATTAAATGTTGTGTCTTAAACTCTTAAATATGGTGTTTGGTTTAAAAAAAAAAAATCCACATTTTCCTAGATTTCATTGGTTTTTATTCATGGTTTGGGGACCTGATGAAAACAAAGATATTTTATATGTTTTGGACCAGTTTAGGTCTTCTGTTTAATGGTGACACTACCTTTAGTGGTTTGTCTTAAAGTTAATGACTCGTTTATATTTGAAATGATGTACTTTAATATAGATTATTTTCTTTTAGCTGAACTAACTGGATTAGTATTTGCTGGTTTCTGGTCAGATTTACTTTTCAGGAGAATCCAGCCAGCAGAATTAAGTTTTTAAAATGTTACTTACTGTTTCTTGTGTTCCACAAGAAAACAGGAGCCTCTTTCTTTGGATATTTTGTTATATAGATAATTTACTTTAGATTATTTAATATCCTTTTTATCCTGAAAAAATGCTTTCACGCTTAATAAAAAGGGATGTTTTCCTTCAGATTTTTACATTAATCTAATACATTTGTAGCTTTTGGACTCAGGATATTGACCCTCTTTTCAAAAGACACAACATGACCAGTTTAAAACGCTGTCACTTCAGGTGCCTCCGGTTTTTAAATGAGCACCAGGGTGGTTCTCCATCCTGTAGCTGGAGCTTTTAGTACCCAGAAGAGACGAACAGTGAGACTGTCCTCTTAAAATAACTGTTTTGAAGCTGAAGCTCAGGAAGATCTCAGCAGGAAGAGGATCTGTCCCCTCCGTCTGTGGCCTCGCCATCAAAGGCTGAGCGTGTTTTCCCACCATAATTACTCACGTTATCACGTCATTTATGTAAAATACTGTCTGTTTTCTTCCTTTTATAACTATATTTTGTGTTGAAGTCTCTGGTTGTTTCCACAGACTCTCTTTTCTTTTCTCTGCTGCATTTGATCCACCTTTAGGTTATC